AGAGAAAAACAAAAGCCGCATTCTTCTAATCTGTTTTTCTACATGGGAGAGTATTTTTCTTCAATCAAATAACATGTATTTAGTGTTACATTTTATAACGTTAAAATAAGCAGCTGTAGAATTAAGTACAGTAAACTACACAGTCTTTCATCACAGTGGGAAAATTGATTAAATTTTGTTCTGGGTAAAAAAAGAGAAATTCACTAAGAAATAAAGTCCCCCAAAATAAACAGTAAAAAAGATAAGAGATATTGTGTGTGACAAAAAATACAGGTGGCTTATTTCACTTAGGAAATGTCCTCCAGGTTCCTCCATGTTTTGACAAAATAGCAGGATTTTCTTCTTTTTTAAGACTGGTTAGTGTTCCATTGTGTGTATACACCACATTTTCTCTATCCACTCATCTGTTGACAGACAGTTTGGTTGTTTCCATATCCTGGCTACTATGAACCATGCTGCAATGAAGATGGGAGTGCTCATATCTCTCTGAGATTCTGATTTCAATTTTCTTGGATAAACACCCAGCAGTGGGATTGCTGGGTCATGTGACAGTTCTATTTGGAATTTTTAAAGGAATCTCTACACTGTTTTCCATAGCTGCTGCACTGTTCTACATTTGCACTTACAGTGGGCGAGGGTTATAATTTCTCCACAACCACACCAACACTTACTTTTATGTGTGTGTGTGTGTGTGTATGTGTGTGTTTTAAATAGCCAATCCACATGTGTGTAGTGATATCTCAAAATATCATAGGCTGGTGGCTTAAACAACAGACATGTATTTCTCACTGTTCTGGAGGCTGGGAAGTCCAGGATTAAGGGGCTGGCAGAGTCAGTGTCTAGTAAAGGCCCACCTCCTGGTTCACAGACTATCATCGCTTGCTGTCTCCTCACATGGTGTTAGGGGCGAGGGAGACTCCAAAGAGTTAGCTCTGTGGAGTCTCTTTTATAAGAGCACTGATCCCACGTACAAGGACTCCACCCTCATGACCTAATCAACTCCCAAAGGACCCAACTCTTAATACCATCACCCATCATATTGTGGGTTAGGATTTAACATAAGAATTGGGGGTGGGGCAGATGCAAACATTCAATCTGTAACATCTTCTTTGGAGAAATGTCTGTTCAAGTTCTTTGCCCACTTTTAAAATTAGGTTATTTAACTTTTTTTATTAAGTTGTAAGAGTTTCTTATATATTTTTGGAAATAATCCCTCATCAGCTATATATTTGGCAAATATTTTCTCCCATATTGCAGGTTGCCTTTTCATTTTGTTTATTGTTTCCTTTATTGACCAGTGGAACAGAAAAGAGAGTCCAGAAATAAACCCATGCATTTATGGTTGATCGATTTTCAACAAGGGGACCAAGAACACATAATGAGAAAAGGACAGTCTTTTCAATTCATGGTGTTGACAAAACTGGATATCCACATGCAGAAAAATGAAATCGGACCCTTTTCTCACACCATATCCAAAAATCAACTCAAAATGCATCAAAAACTTAAATGTAAGACCTAAAACTGTAAAAATACTAGAGAAAAACTTAGAGGGAAATATAAAACGTTGGTCTGGGCAATGATTCTTTTTGGATTTGACCCCAAAAGAGCAGGCAACAAAAGCAAAAATACAGAAATGGGACTATATCCAAAGAAAAGCTTCTGTACAACAAAGGAAACAACAGAGTGAAGAGACAACGTCACTACAGGGAAAAAATGTTTTCCAAGCAATACATTTGAGAAGAGTTAATATCCAAAATATATAAGGACCTCAAAAAACTCAACAGTGTAAAAAACAAATAACCTCATTTAAAAATGGGCAAATAAGCTGAATAGTCATTTCTCAAAAGTAGACATACAAAGAGTCAGCAGATATATGAAAAAATGTTCAACATTACTAATCATTAGGGAAATGCAAATTAAAACTCTGATGAGATATCACCTCACAGAATGGCTGCTATCAAAAAGATGAAAGGTAAGTGTTGGTGAGGATGTGGAGAAAAGGGAACCCTTGTACTCTGTTGATGGGAATGTAATTGGTCCAGTCATTATGTAAAACTGTATGGAAGGCCCTCAAAAAGTTAAAAATAGAACTATCCTGTAATCCATCCATCCCACTACAGGGTTTATATCCTAAGGACTTGAAGTCAGTGTCAAAGAGATATCTGATCTCACATTATTTATATATCTGATCTCACGTTTTCATTACAGCATTATTTATAATAGCCATGTTATGAAATTAACCCGTATCCATCAATGGATCAATGAATAAAGAAAATATGGTGCATGTACCTTATATCTCCTCTCACACCTCATGCTGTGTCATAATATGGTGGAGAAGTGGAAGGGGAAGCAGGCACATGCAAAAGGGGCAATACGTGGTGGGCGGCCTCAGTTTATAACAACCTACCCTCACAGTAACTAATTCAGTCCTGGGAGAGCAAGAACTCATTCTTGAGAGAATTAACCCAGTCCTGCGAGTGGAATTAATCCCTCTTAACAACCTAATTGCTTCTTAAAGGCTCTCCCTCCAACACCACCACAGCAGGCACCAAATTTCCAACACACGGAATTCTTGGAACACAAACCACAGCACTTTCTCTATTTAAGTATATTATATCTGTGACTACTGATAATCTTTTCTTTTTTTGAATTTTAGATCTGAATTTTAAAATCTTTTTCTATCTCAAGGTCATAAACATATTCTCTAATATTGTCTTCTGGAAGTTATTATTGCTTTTTACATATTGATATACAATTCTATTGTAATTAATATGTGTATGATGTGAGATGTGTGAAATTTCATTTTTTTGATAGGTATATTCGTTTGACCCAGCAGCATTTATTGGCAAGATCATTATTCCTGGCTGCTTGCTTGAATATAATTAGATCACAAAACAGGCACAAAAGAGAACATACTGTAAGATTCAGTTTACATATTGTCACTAAGCATGTTTAGGGATACATATCAGGTTTTGAAGGTATACTGAAAAGCAAAGACGTGATTGCTGTGAAAGTCTGGATGGTGAGTTATGCTGGTGGGAAGGGAGAGCAGTGTCGACAGGAAAAGTCACGTTGGGGCCTCTGGGTTCCAGGCCTTGTGTGCTATTTCTTGATCTGGCTGCTGGTTCCATGGATGTTGGCATTATAATGAGCAATTAAGCTGTACATTTATGCTTTATGTGTTTTTCTGTATGTGTGTTCTATTTCACTATATAGTGTTAAAAATGCAAAATATTTGCTTTCCTGAACAGACCCCAGTAATCAATATTTATTGAGTACTAGGTGATCAACATATTTTAATGGGCAGCAGTTAACTGCGAACATACTGTGATATAATACACCGACTGCGAGGCTATGATAAGAATTAAATAAAATAAAGTATCTGGAAGTGCATAATTCAGTGCCTGGTGGGAAATAAACAATAATTCATTATTTGATTTTCCCTTCGTTTATCTGTGCATAATAAGCCCATGGCAAACAGAGTTGTGATAGATCTTTCTCACAGTTCCCAGTTCTTCTATAACAGGAATAGCAGTGAGACATCAGCATCATAGCTTTTTATGTATGCTTTTAATATTAGCAGAGATTTCCCATACAGACATGAAAATCCAGGAAACGTGTCTCTTTCACTTTAGATGCTCAGCTCCTCCAAACCTCACTCTACATCTTGCCTTACTCTGAAAATACTCATCCCTCACTAAGCATCTAAGCATGTCCTAATTCATACCACTAAAGGAAATTTTCAGCCTTTCTTATCGCCATCTAACTTAGTCATCTGGTCCTCCCCTGATTTCTCTTTAAGACTTTATCATAAAGACCTTCTAGTCAGATATATCTGCTGGAAATAAGTGATGCCGTCTCACGCTTTATCCCCATTGGCTACAGAAAAAATAGTAAATCTGAGAAGGGTCGGGGATTCCCAATAGTAAATTTCATTTGCTCTTTTTTCTCCAAAGTGTCTAACACAGAAGAAAAAAACCAACACACAGACGGGTAGGAGGACTGATCCCTCTGGGTGCCACCTCCAAAAGGAAAGAAACTACGTTTCTTCTAAAAGACCTCATGTTCCTCCCTTAGTTATTAAATACCGGTTTCTAATGAACATCTGGGAATCCACAAAGCATGGGATTTCTGTCGTCACCACACTATCTCTGTGTCTAATCCTTCATAACCAACCTTGGGTACAATCGTGTGCCTTATTCTAAACATATTTTGGAGATTATTCCATAGCAGGTTAATGAGTCTTTCTCATTTTTATTCTTCCAGCTGCAGGGTATTACATTATTTGGATGTATATCCGTTTATTCATACATTCCCCTTTGTTTCCCAGCATTATTTCTGATTTCTGCTAAGGTAAGATCTACTAGGCATTCTCCTATGTCACACAGAAGTATGTCACATAATCTGGAGGGACTCAGAAATACATATTTTCCTTTAGAGTTGTGGCTTTGTCCTGAAGACCTTGTGAGACGACTTAAGGGGAGGAATGCATCCCAAGCCAAAGAGTCAGCATGCTACTCATTTTTATCTGAAAGACAGAAAAAGATTGAGGTGTTGAAGCTCATCCTTAATCTGAGATTAAGAAGTACTCAGGTTTAGTTACTTCATTTTTAAATCAAAGCGGAAGAGTCCTAAGAACATGATCATAAAAATTTTGAGGGTATATCCTTTACAAGTTACCTGAATTTCTTATATTTCTTGTCCCCTTCCTGTACCCTATGGTGTGAGGAGACCTGTGTTTTTGTCTTTGAGAATGCATGGATGTAGGAGTTCACCACGATCGGGGTTCAGCACGCGCTTTCTCCTAGCTCAGCTAAATACGCCTAATTATACAATGCAGAAAACACAGGAAGAATCAAGGAACAAGGCAAGGAAACCTTCCAGATTCACATCTGACCAAAATTCAGGAATATAAATGAAAACCATTGTTGTATGTGATGTAATCATCCCTTACTCTTTTCTTTCTACTTCTTACACTTGAAGCGATACGAAGCAAATGATTTTCACTCAATATGTATTCGAGAAAAATTTAATAAAGTAATGTGTGCAAAAGATGAGTTCAGATGCACAGGGGGCAGTTAAGGGTTGAAAACAATGGGGACTGGGAAAGAATGAAGATCAGGTACTGCAGTCAGCACTGGGACTTCTAGGCCAAGGGCAGAGGCTGAGGAAGGCCACCAGGGAGGACATTTTTTGTAGGGTCACCGAACCAGGAGCAAACCAGGTCCTGAGAAAGACTCTCTTTGTGTGAGCATAAGAGCCAAGCAGGAAAACTTTTCATGCTGCAAATATGCTGGAACAGAAGGTTTCTCCTCGGGTGTCGTCTTCACTTCAGCTCAGGAGTCCTGCAGAAGACAGGGGAGAATGTTGTTTCCAGACCTAAGTCGACAAACAGCTTATTTCTTCCTCTCTTGGACCTTATGTGATAGCATTACAGTAAAAACAAAAAAAAATTCTTATGTCTCCTTGTGACAATGCTTCTTTAGAACACAGGTCTTTTATTAAGTGGAGAGAAGCAGCTTTATTATAAATCATCTGATCAGAAATTTGAATTCAACACCTTTCCTATTATTTCTTTGTCAGGTATTGTCACCTCTATCATCTATTCCAGGGAAACCAAATCTATCTCTAAAAGAGGATTAAAGGGCATTACCTGTTGGCTGAAGTCCAGAATGTCCTGGGAAAGAGAGGGGAAGATACATACTTTTAAATAATATGGAGGCAAATCTATCCCCACATACAAGTCCCCAGCACCACATCTTCCACCTAGCTTTCTCTAAGTCCACAACCCACATCAGCTGGGGGAGAGAGGACAGCAGAAACCGAGGGCGTGTAACCTACAAAGCTTCTGTCACACAAATCCAGTGTAATTTCAATACCCTTAGTGGCTCTTCCTTCATTTGCCGCAGGTTCTCTACCCAAGATCTCTATGCTTGTTAACCTTCTCTTGCCTCTGTAAGTCATATCCCCTTATGCTTTAACACAGTAACCATGGATCGTTGATTTCTGGATTTCCAAGAAATCTGAGGTCAAATGGGAAAAGAAAGGCTTTATACAGGGCCATAGCTACACAGATGACTAACTTGAGCAAAGTCGTATTTCTTCCCCCAGGAAAGTCTATGGGTCGTCTCGGTTACCAACAGGTTCCTTACCTTTCTGATTCCTGAAGTAGATGAATAGCCCCACCCCAAGGAACAGTAGGCCCAGCACAAAGCCCCCAATTCCACTCAGCATCCTGCTCTGTGCAGATTCAGACTGTGCCCCTGGGAGAAGAAGCCAAGTTTAGTGATTTTTATCCCAAGTCTAACTTCTCTATTTGAGACCCTGAGATTCAGTGATTTGCGAATGGGGGAAGAAACCCGCACTAGAAGAGCTAGAATAATTGGCCATTTCTGGAAAAGAGATTTTAAAATATCACACTGAGTATCTACAAGGTTCACGCACTGAACTCAATTAAATATCACAGTCCTGAAATGACTTCTGATGTATGACGAGTCTAGATCTCAGTGAGGTTAAGTATAG